TGCCGAAGCGAGCGGCTGCCCGGCCGGGGAGGCAGGAGCCGGCCGGCTGCCCCCGGCGGTGCCGGGGATCGCCTCCTCCCCGCCTCGCGCGGGCACCTCGGGGGGGGAGGAGAAGGGGGAGAGGGAGGGGGCGGAGGAGGAGGAGGAGGAAGGGGAGGAGGAATGGCCGCGATCGTGGACCCTCAGGCCATCAGGAAACAAGAAACAGGAGGAGGAGGAGGAGGAGGACGACGAGGAGGAGGAGGAGGAGGAGGAGGCCCCTGGCTTCCCCTTCCCTTCACTCTTGCCATCCTGTTGCTCTTCCCTGTCTCGCCCCTCCGCCTGTCTCGCTCGCTCCCTGGGGAGGCCCCCCCCTTTGGGCTGGATCTGTTGCGCACGTTTCGGCTTGCGCCCTTTCCCTCAACGCCGATCTGGCTTCGTCTGCCGAGGACCCCAGCGCGCGAGGACCCAAGTGCACGGCACAGGACCCCGGTGCACTGCTGCAGCTTCGGAAGCAGAAGATTCGAGGATAGCGGTCCGAGGCTTTTGGATGTTTTTGACCAATTCCAGGCCTCCGGGGAGGAGAGGGAAGCAATGAGAAGCCAAACGATGTCCGAGAGATCGAGAGATAGGGAGAAAAACAAACAAACAAACGGAAAACATAAAAAAGGCAAGCAGACAGACAGACAGGCAGGCAGGCAGGCAGGCAGGCAGGCACGCAGACAGACAGACAGAGACAGAGACAGAGACAGAGACAGAGACAGAGACAGAGACAGAGACAGAGACACAGACACAGACACAGACACAGACACAGACACAGACACAGACACAGACAGATGGACATGGACAGACAGCAAGAGAGACAGAGAGACAAAGATACACAGAGACAGAGAGGTAGAGAGGCAGACAGACAGAGAGGCAGCCAGGCAGACACACAGAAAAAGAAAGAGAGAGAGTTTTCAAGTATACCTATCTCTCACACACATTATCTCTCTATCTCTGTGTCTCTCTCTCTCTCTGGAACTTTCCATGTGCATACACAGATGTGTATATATATACACACAACTGCATTGGCGCTGCGCGCCATGCACCTTGGTCCTTTGAGTTCTGCACGCAAGCGGAATGCGTGCGTGCGTACATGCGCGCATGAATGTATACACGCGCACGTGCATGCACGTTCCGTATGAATGTCTAGGTGTATACAATATACTTACATTGTTATGTGTATACAGCGTGTCTATGTACATATAAATGTATGTATGTAAGGGTATGAACATGCACATGCAACTCGTACGGGGCATCCTCGGGCATCTTCGGTGCATGCCACGAGACCCTCAACGACTGGGTCACAATGCGAAATGTCATGGGAGCAAAATCAATGAATGTTGGCATTCGGAAACATCGTGGGGGTGTTTTCGGGGCCCTCGTGGGCCGTTTTAGCGCCTTCATGGGCCGTCCGGCCTTCTTGGGCCGTCTTGGGAGCTTGGGCCCGCTGGAGCCCCCTTTGGACCCATCTTGGGCACTTCCGGGGACCTCCCATGGCCCTTTTGGGTCTGTGCTAGGAGCCCTTGGGGGGCCTCTTGGTTCCATTATGGGCTGTCTTGGGGCTCTCGTGGGCGATTGTCGGGCCCGGCTCGGCCGTCTTGAAGCTTCCTTGGGGGCCTTTTGGGGCGTCTGGAGGCGATCTCGGGGGGTCTTGAAACCGTCTTGAAAGCTGATGAAATCCGAAAGGCGAATATGCTAAAATTGTAAGTTTTACGAAGGGAACGGGACGATTTGTGTGTTTTGAAGGCCCCTTGGAAAGCTTTTTGGGGTGCCTTGGGGGTCTTTATGTTGGCATTTGGAAACATCGTGGGGGTGCTTTCGGGGCCCTCGTGGGCCGTTTTGGCGCCTTCATGGGCCGTCCGGCCTTCTTGGGCCGTCTTGGGGAGCTTGGGCCCGCTGGAGCCCCCTTTGGACCCATCTTGGGCACTTCCGGGGACCTCCCATGGCCCTTTTGGGTCTGTGCTGGGAGCCCTTGGGGGGCCTCTTGGTTCCATTATGGGCTGTCTTGGGGCTCTCGTGGGCGATCGTCGGGCCCGGCTCGGCCGTCTTGAAGCTTCCTTGGGGGCCTTTTGGGGCGTCTGGAGGCGATCTCGGGGGCCTTGAAACCGTCTTGAAAGCTGATGAAATCCGAAAGGCGAATATGCTAAAAATGTAAGTTTTACGAAGGGAATGGGACGATGTTTGTGCTTTGAAGGCCCCTTTGAAAGCTTTTCGGGGTGCCTTGGGGGTCTTTGGGGCCGTCCTGACGCAATTGGAGTCCCTCTTGGAGCGCTCTTGTGCTGTCTGGGGCCTCCCTTGAGCCTTTCTGATGACCCCTCGGATCGCTCTGGGTCTGCTGGCAAGGCGTTTATGGAGACCCGGAAAGCCGGGTGACCTTTTCCGAGGACGTCCAAGGGAACCCGAGAACCCCAGATCCCCGGGGTTCAATTTTTGCGGGCGGGGGGGTGAGGGTTTTCCCCCCCCCGGCTTGTAAAAATATAAGAGAAGGAATAGATGTGCGTGCACGTGCCACCCCGTACATAGCATACATACATAATTACATATATATACACACATACCTACGTACAGTGTTGTGTACCTCTCTTCAACTGTATCTATATATATATATATACATATATATATATAGTATGGTCATCTCTCTATCTCAGTCTCTCTTTTTTTTTTTTCTCTCTCTCTCTCTCTCTCTCGCTCTCTCTGTCTGCCTATACATAAACATCAGCCAGCGTCGACACCGAATAGATTAGACGACTCCTAACAAGGAATCAGAGGAATCGAGCATGCTTAGAATCCGCAACTCAGCAAGCAAGCAAGCGTGCAAGGAAGCACGCACGCACGCACGCACGCAAGCAAGCAAGCAAGCGCGCAAGCAAGCAAGCATACATAAGGGGGGGTGCCATTGGAAAAATGGGGGGGGATAGACATAGGCATAGGCATAGCCATAAGAATTAGGGGGGGGCAAAGGAATTCGGGAGGGAGCAACGGACCAATTAGTAGGGTTTGAGGTAGGACTCCTATAGGGCAATCCTATTTTTAAAAAAAAAGACACTTATAGGTGCGCTGTCATGATGGTCCTCCTTCTGCTAATATTACTTCTCTTCCTCTTAACCATCCTAATCCTCTTCATCATGATCATCATCATCGCTATCACCTTCCTCATGTCCATCGTCATCCTCATCATAATCGTCGTCCTGATATCAGCATAGTACTCGCTCTCATCAGCCACATCATCATCGTCAGATGCATATTCATATCATCATGATCATCATCATCATCATCATCATCATCATCATCATCATCATCATCATCATCATCATCATCATCATCATCGGGAATACCACCACCACCATCATCATCATCATCATAACCATCATCACAATCAGCACCATCACCACCACCACCACCACAATCATCATCATCATCATCATCATCATCATCATCATCATCATCAGAATTAGTATCATCAGCAGCAGCATCATCATCATCTTCAGCATCATCCTCATCATCACCCCCATCCTCATCGTCATCATCAGCATCAGCATCAGCATCAGCATCAGCATCAGCATCATCAGCATCAGCATCATCATCACCGGAATCATCATCATCAAAACCATCAACAGCAAAAAAAACATCATCCTTATCATCAGCATGATCATTATCATCATCCACTCCTCATCTATTCCGCATCCATTCCTAATCGTCCTTCTTGTGTTGCCTCCCCCTCCCCCTCCCCTCCCCCTTGTCCTCCCCCAACCGCCAGTGCATCCTGTTCCCCTTTCTCTCTCATCCTCCCTCGTTCTCCTCCCCCTCATCCTCCTCGTCCTGCTCCCTCGGCGCCATTCTGCTGGTCGCGTCTGGCTGGAAGCCGGCGCAAGCGTAGACCGCTCTCACGTCGGCGTAGCCCGGCATCAGGTCCCTGCCACGGTGGGCTGGAGACCCGGGAAGGACTTGGATTGGACATGTGATCGCACCTGGCTCAAGATCTAAAGCCCATTTAGAACCTCGGCCTCGCCTCTGGTAGGGGCAGGCGGCTTACGCTGGAACACTCATCATGTCCTATCGTCCTTGCTGCGGGGACTCACACAATTGCTCTTACACTCCCCTTCGGCGGGCTTTTGGAAGATGACGGAAGGGAGGGAGGCAGAGGAGGAGGGAAGGACGCAGAGGATGGGGAAGAGGACGACGGGGGGGTGGAGAGGCAGGGGAACTCGGAGGATGAAGAGACAGATGGAGGAAGAGGAAGCACTAGGAGGAGAGGGAGGACAAGGAGGAGGAGGAGGAGGAGGAAGAGGAGGAGCGGGAGGAATTAGGATAATGAGCGGAAGAAGTAAAGAAGGAAAGGGGAGGAGGAGGAGGAGGAGGAGGAGGAGGAGCGGGAGGAACGAGGCGCGCCGAACGCGCGCGTTCGGCGGCCTTCGGCAGAGAGCGAGATGACGATGAGGAGGAGGACGAGGAGGAGGAGGAGGAGGAGGACGAGCCAGGATACCTTGAAAAAAAGAAGAGGGCAAGCGAACACGAGCACGAACGAGAAAAGGGCAAATGAGTTCGTCTCTGCGGGTGCGTGCTCGGGCCTAGCTCCTCTACCTATATAGTAGTGCGAGTGCTGCACGGCGCGAAGCGACTAGATCTGCTTGCGAAACAGATGCGGCGCGGGCGCTAGTAGTGAGCTTCAGTTCGTTGTACATATGAAAGGCCATGACGATCCTCGAGACCATCGCTGGCAGTAACATTGGGCTGGCCGCGTCAGCTGTGCACGCTGCAGCGGGGCCAAGTCCCCAGGCCGCCAGCGTCGACTGGGCGAGGGGGGGATCAGGGAGCCAGAGGATCCCAGGCCTGCTGGATCTTGCGGCGTTCGTCGACGGCGACGTCGTGGTTGTGGACATTCATGATGACCATGGTGGCCCGCGTGACGGCGCGCGTGATCGCGAGCACCTTGACGCGATCAGGAACGAGCTCGTCGCGGTCAAAGAGTGGAAGCT